GGGGGGGGGGGGGTGAATAGGTTTTCGGATCGTCGGATTTCACAGAAAAAATTGTTCGGATTTCGGATCTGGCGAATATTTTATTACCCTGGGGCGCTTTCCATTTAATGGCCTGACCGGTCAGACCCGAATTCTTTTCTCTGTATCAATGGAAAGACATGGTCTATGTTTCTCAAATATCTAGCGAAAAAGGACCTCATTCTGTTCTCATAATGTTATCTAAAATTTCCGGTCAGATAAGTCCGAAGTCCAAACGTTTTGTGTTCCATTCAACAATTTGACCATTCTGACCAATCTGGCCGTGTATTAATAATGGAAAGCGCCCCTGGATTCACCAGAGCCTTCAGTGAATAATCAATTGAAACGTCGTGAAGGCTCTGGTTCAACGGGAGGGTTCTTTGATTAAACGATTTAAACCGCGCGTAGAACCTGAGCTTAAACGTGCGGAATTATTGGAAGGTATATGATCTATAATACATACATATCTGGTATAAACTATATGCGGTATGACAGTTCGATTTCACAGATTTGTACACTCCATGAATCGACTGAATCTTTATCTCTTGGCTTTGCCTTTCAGTTTGTCATCTTGGACTTGGTGTTAGGTTATGGCTACCTGACGCGAATACTTGCAATCTTTTCCCACTAAATTAGATGCCGCGGTCAACGAGCTATAATTAAATAATAAAATAAAACAGCTTTTACATGACTAAAGTGTTGACGTGTTGTTCAATTGCATATATATCATCTTAGAGTCAAAGAAAGATAAAGGCATTTACTAGCGATATGAATATTATTATTAATGATGCTCGTGAAAGCTCTATGACTATGTATACACGGCACATGCGAATGTGATATATAATAATATCGGCGCAAACCAAGCTAACAAAGCCAATTATTTAAACTCACTGGCACCATGGGAGGAAGGATATCTGCGCATATTAGTCAATGTTTTTCAGCATAAATATTGTTAATCCATTGCATTGTTAAGAAGGCGAGGAAGGTATGAGAACGTTCACAGGCTAAAAATATTTATAAAATTGTAACTTTTGCGTAACCTTATATATCGGAACTGCCGGTATTCCGATGGAAATGTCCAATAATTCCTACTATTCCGTATTTTTAGATGAATGAATTATCTCCCAATATAAAGTATATGTTTTAAGGAGTAGTTTAAACCATATTTGGCTTTGAGGCTCTCGGCTAGATTTTAAAATATTTTAATTTTTTTTATTTCATTGTACTAACCTTTACCCCCGTAAATAACCCCGTATTAATTAAATTGGAGAGAGATGGAAACGTATTCGCATGATTTCAAAACTGCTCATATTTTCTGAATCAATAGACTCTAATCTTTCAACGAATATGCTTTTACGAACAGGATTAGAAAACACATGCAATTTCTAGCGGCATATCCAGAGGCATGCACTTATTCAGACTACTATAGACTACATTAGACGGTTGTGCTGTTTTTGATATCAACCCGTATTTTCATATGAACAATACTTGATTAGTGAATTAAGAAATCTTGGAAGAATCATTTAGAGATAGTCTCGTTTTGAGGCTCTCGACTAGATTTTTTACAATCTTAAGTTGAAAATTTAGCTTTTTCCTATTTTTAGCAAAATCACGATTTTTGCACTAAGTGTTTTCAAGGATTTAATCATAAATAAACTTTCCAAAGATATTTCTGAGTAGAAAAATGCGTTAAAAACAAATTTTCAACCCAAACCTGAGTTTATTTTTTAATTTCATCTGTCCAGGGAGTGAAAACTGTCAACTTGCATCATCGAAAAAAGTTAAATTTCGTCAATATTTCGTCGTAGAAATAAATAGTTTATATTTGTCCAATTTCAGTTTAAAGTCTTTTATCCAGGACATTTGTCAACAGCCTTTAAATAAACGGACTCAAATTCTTGCACATCCACAGTTTTCGTCCCAAACGAGAAGCCCCAAAACTTGTTTTTGCTCATTTTAATAATTTAAAACAAAATTTTTGCTAGCGCCCGCAATTTGCTGGCCAGCGACAGCAAATTTCCCACCTGTTTTCCTCTGAGTTGTTACACTGAGTTGTTTGTCCACGCACAAGCGTTTTGATTGGATGGATTGTCCCGCGGTGAGTTCAAATTTCAAAATATGGCCAGACTGGTCGTTATGCTATTTTGCAAATTTATGTTGCCGATACAAGAGAAAGACTAAATCAAACAGAGAGCTATGGGATATGAATTGAGATTCGCCAGTAAGATGAACCGCGGCACCAGGTAAATCATAGTTCTATTTGTTATGAATTGTGTATTGCGAGAATTATGAAATAGTAATTTTATATTCATGTTGCAAATATAATGCGCGCAATTCGCTGAACCAATACGTGACAACTGTAGATCATTTGCGGTTTGCGCTGATATTAATTATAGCTAGTGTACCGCACTTACTTACAATGTATACATATATATATAATATTAGCTATATTATTACTTTAATAGTCCTTGACTACCAACAAAACCTAGCTCTGAATCATACAGGAGCGTTCTCTCTTAAAACTTGAATTGCAATGATTTTATATCAAATTTCATTCGTACGTTGTGGAGTGTGTATGTATAGGCCCTTCACGACCTTCAAATGCATTACACTTAATTTAACTATAGTAAATTATCTCTGGGTTAAGTTTATTTACAACCCGTCGACACCTTATTCATATTTTTTCTAGTTTATTATAGCTACTGTACATGCAGCCATGGCCATGGCTAGTCAGAAGTATTGTGAGCATTCGACTCTACTCATACTGTGAAGATATATGAACGAACGACAACTTTGCTTAGCTATATGTCACAAAATGTTTTCGATTTTCCTTTGCACGATAAGCGATCTTAAAGATAGCAAAGCAATAAAGGCCTAGTCTGCGTGCAGACTATATAATGACATATATATATGTCATTATATATTCTACGCGCAGGCTAGGAAAGGCCAAAATGCGACACTTATATTGCATGTGTGAATATTCATACAAAATATAATGGTTGGTTAATATTATATTAAGATTTTGTCAAACTCCAACCAATTTCGCTATTTGAAATTCTGCTAGCTAATTTATATATCTGCATGGTTGGTATTTATATAAGATTTTGACAAATTCAAACCAGTCTGTCCAGTCTCGGTGTCTCAAATTCAGCTACCTAAAATATATCGGAAAATATATTTTGACAAACTCAAACCATTTTGGGTGTCTGAAATTCAGACACCTAATTTATCTCTGCATGGTTGGTATTTATATATGATTTTGACAAACTCAAACCGTTTTCGGTGTCTGAAATTCAGACACCTAATTTATCTCGGTCTGCATGGTTGGTATTTATATATGATTTTGACAAACTCAAACCGTTTTCGGTGTCTGAAATTCAGACACCTAATTTATCTCAGTCTGCATGGTTGGTATTTATATATGATTTTGACAAACTCAAACCATTTTGGGTGTCTGAAATTCAGACACCTAATTTATCTCTGCATGGTTGGTATTTATATATGATTTTGACAAACTCAAACCGTTTTCGGTGTCTGAAATTCAGACACCTAATTTATCTCGGTCTGCATGGTTGGTATTTATATATGATTTTGACAAACTCAAACCGTTTTCGGTGTCTGAAATTCAGACACCTAATTCATCTCTGCATGGTTGGTATTTATATATGATTTTGACAAACTCAAACCGTTTTGGGTGTCTGAAATTCAGACACCTAATTTATCTCAGTCTGCATGGTTGGTATTTATATATGATTCTGACAAACTCAAACCATTTTGGGTGTCTGAAATTCAGACACCTAATTTATCTCTGCATGGTTCACTGGTATTTATATATGATTTTGACAAACTCAAACCGATTTCGGTGTCTGAAATTCAGCTACCTTATTTATATTTATATCTGACAATGGTTGCCATCTTTACTGATATATGACAATCTGAAACCAGTGTCAGTCATGTAAGTATGACTACTGCCAATATGCACTTTAGCATTAATAATTTCAGAATAGTGTCTCGTTTAGATAAAAATGCTGTTTTTTTGCAGAGTGTCTGCAAAAAGATAGTATTTCCATTTGCTAAAATGAAATCTTCGCACTTTTTGCTATTTTTTCAATTTTTTCAGAAAAAAAAATAGTTTGGAATTATTGAAAATAGTTTGGAACGCGTTTTAAATGTTATATGTTATATGTTATGTTACGGTTATGTTATCTTATATTATCTTATCTTACGTTATCTTATATACAAATAATGAATGTTTATTGTTCGGTGAAAGATGGAATGTTCCATTCAACTCGGCTGTCGCCTCGTTGAATGGAACATTCCATCTTTCACCTCATGAAAATATTCTTACCATTGCACTCATAAACATTCATTATTTGTTCTATATAATACCAAAAGTCCAGAACAGACTAATAGATTCGTATGAGAAGCATTTTGAGGGATGCGATTTATCGAAAACACAAAGAGTGCAATTGTACTATACGTTTTATTCCATTGCACTCGCGGAGAGTGCAATGGAACGCGTTCCATTGCACTCTTGGGAAATGGAATTTTCTATTCAATATCACGTGACCATAAACAGCTAATTAAACGATTAGAATTTAATTAATAAGGTATTATATAATATATGTTATGTTATGTTAAGGTGAAGCAGCTGCGATCAGTTACATGGAGGACAATATACTCTCTTCAGAGCCAGATGTATATGCGCCTATAAAGAAATTTAGTTTGCAAACATTTTCTACCTTGGCCAAAAAAGTTTCGAGCAAGAAGAAAAATGGCGATGTTATTGAATTGAAAAATTCTAAGGAATTATTTGCGAAAATGCTTTTGATTGCGAAGAATAGAAATTTGGATTTGAAAGAAGTTTTGCAATACTCACTGCGACCATTCCCGTTGTCACTGGCTACATTGGAAGGAAATCTTGTGAAGTCAACGAAGTCAAAGTTACTTAATATAATTGAAAATGAAGTGGAGGAGGCGTTGGTAGAACATATTGCCGGTGAAAATGCTCTGATCATCGACACCATGGCACTACTTCAGTCAATGAAGATTAGATCAACAACATTTGGCGAGCTAGCTCTAGAAATTTTGACAAGAATTGTCCAAATGGCAAGCTTTTCAAATTCCAAGAGAGTTGATTTGGTTTGTGATCGCTAACCAGACCATAGCATCAAAAACCTCGAACGAAAGAAACGTAGTCGTGGGGGTATGCTCTCCGTCAAGATATACGGTAGCCAGCAAAAGATCCCATGTCAATGGCAAAATTTTCTCGCAGTGGGGAAAAATGAGGAAGAAATCATGGAGTTTCTTTTTGATTCATGGAGTAAGAGTAATGCTCTTACTCTTTGTAAGAGTTAGATACCGAAAACGGAGGCTCTTAGTCAGATACAAACCCGAGGGGCCGTAGGCCCCGAGGGATTTATCTGACTAAGAGCCGACGTTTGAGGTATCTAACTAACTTAGTTCATATTTGTAAGGATTGACCCACAATGAAATTTACTTTATGATATGTATTGTTCTTTAAATGAGTTTGAATTACCATGGTTGTAATAAAAACAAACAGGGCTATTTTGATATGCATCAATTCTCGTGTCGCACTACTGTATACTATCAATGAGAAGTGATTAAATATTTGTTCACCAACCACAATTACGATGAAATATGTTTGAAATAGCTCATACAACCGAGAAGAGCTAACGAAGATTTGTACGGGTTTGTCGAAGCAGAGATTCTCAAGTTGTTCTCAACAGGGTTTTATTTGCAGGATAAAAACCAAATGGGAGGTCTTTCATTGAAATTCAAGACCGAGGCGTGCAGCACCGAGGCTTGAATTTCAATGAAAGACCGACCATTTTCTATTGTCCTTGGGAGGTTGTGGGACGAAATAAGGTTGAACATGCGCATTAAACACGCTTTAATGTGGTTGAGCATGCGTAGTATATCATTTCGCGTCCCGCAAGCGAAAGAGCAGATATTACTGTATAAATTCCTTGCACAAGCAAGTTTGATGGTCGGTTCAGCTAGTCCTCGTGCACCGAATGATAAATATTCTACCCAAAGGTAGAGTTTGACGGGCTTTGAGGTACACGGCTGTTGTCTCTTTCTCGACTCAGAGACGTGCAGCGTTTTCTAGTGGAAAAGGAGATGTGGGGTTTGAGTTTGGTTAAAAATTCAAGGTATCTAACTCCATAGTGACCTCCAAAAGGGGGTCACTATGGAGTTAGATACCTTGCATTTTTAATTAGGCATTCAATTCTATTCATCAACCCCGCTTTTCCCTGTGGAGATATCAAATCCCTCCCCTTGCTTTTAGATTCTTACCCAAATAAAACCCTATTGAGAACAATAGATATCCGCACAAATATGAACTCAGAGGGATTTACCACCCACAAGGAACAGTGCCATCGCTTGTTTGAATCCTAAGACGGTATTATATGCTCCAAAGTTAACGCGCTAACATCCAACCACGAAGAAGCAGATACAAGAATGCTATGCCATGCTTTGCATGCATCGACGAACTACCCCAGCGTGATTATCAAGAGCCCTGATACTGACGTCTTTTTCATTGCATTGAATGCCAGCTCCGTTATCCCGTCAAACGTCTACTTCGAGACTGTAAATCAAAAGAATCTGAGAATCATATCCCTCGACAAGGTTAGACTTCATTACGGGCCTCAGTGGTGCTCTGCTTTTGTTGGACTACACAGTTTCACTGGTACGTGCTTTGAAAGAATGGCGTTTGCAATAATATGTTTTTCTAATAATATTTAATACAATATTCTTTTCATTTAGGATGCGATAGCATAAGTTCTTTTTATGGGAAAGGTAAGGCCACAGCACTCAAAGTAGCACGAAGCAAAGACGAGCACGCCAACACTTTCGCAAATTTAGGAGTTTACATACCATCACCCGCAGAGTTAATTGACGAGC